TTTAGTTATGTAATAATTTAAGTTGTGAGATATCGTTGTTTTTGAGATGTTGTCCTTGCTCTTCTTTCTGGTTTGAAGTGGACAGGGCTCGGTTAGAAAAACTGACACCCCCATACTTCTGTGCACCAATCAGGATTTAGCAATATTTGAATCAAAATCTGATGACAGTTGTTGAGGTTGTTTGCCTAGCTGTGAAGCCACTGCCACACGTTCATATGTTTTTGAGTGTTAAACTCAAAAAGAAGTTTGTTGGTCCTTATTTAGTCGCAAATATTTCATGTTATAGAAAAATACATTATATTTGAAACCACCTTTTCAGTAGGCTGAATTATTGAATATTTATCTCAAGTTAAAACAATCCAGATTTTTAGATTTGGTCAAATTGCCCATGTGGAGCTTTTAAAGGTTGTTTAATGTAATTTAGTTTGACTCATAGTCACCATGACATTGTTTTCCATGTGCCAAGCGCATTTGGAGATTAATTTGGACGATTGTTCTTCTGTTTGCAATACAACAGAGCCAGCCATATGTGTCATTAACCTTTTTGTACCCACTCCAGCTTGTATTTAGATTTGATTACTGGCCTATAGAGATGGACATACAGCCACACCACCTTCTAGCTCAAATAGCGGCTCCCTCCCTATCCCGCCTGCCTCTCTCATAATCAGCTGCATCCTGCTGCCTCTCGGAGGAAGGAATGTGACACAAAATGAAACACACCACACACAAGCTGCCATGAGACTCATTCAGGTACAACAACAGATGCTATGGCAGTACACATACTGTACAAAAAGGCTGTTTAATGTTGAATTTATTTTCCTACCATGTATCTATAAATTAAGTTTGATTTTGTTTTGAAGCATAACCAGTGGTCTTAGATTTTGTAGGATAAAATAAAAATGTATTTCAAGGTAATAGCTTTCCCTTTAAAATCTTATAACAGGTATAAACTATATTTAAACTAACCTATCATAACTTCCTCCCCTTTAAAGTAGACAGAAAATCCCTAATTATGTGCCATCTCCTCCTCTGCTTGTGGTAAACATCAGCAAACAAGACAAAGCATTGATGAATGGAATGTAATCGCCTTTGTGTGCTGAATTCAAATCGGTTGTATATTGACAATTTGAGCCTATTTAGAGAAACAGCCCACTTCAGATGAGCATTAATCTGATTAAGAACACAATTTATTTGGGTTTCCGTGCTCAATAGAGAACCCTTCCTGTTCAGCGCACGGCCTGCCAATGAGGCAGAAGATCCCAACCTCAACGAATGGCCAACAGCTGTGTATATAGAACGAGCACATTTCCTCTTACAGTGAAAAAAAACACCCTGTTTCAGTAAAACATTGAGTCATTGCTCATACACCATATACATTCTGTACGTGCAAATATAGTGTTGTGTAGTGTATAGTGTGAAATTTGCATGTATTCTGTAATGTCGTAAACAGGTTCCGTATAATTGTTGCATCTAAATCTGTTTTTTAAAGGTGGTAGGTATTGTACTGTATATTTGTAGTTTTCTTAAGTACTTACTAACAAACCTACTTAAGCTCTGAAGTGAGTGATGCCATTCCAATTTTACTCAAAATTAGATTGGTTTAGGAGATGAACTTTTGGAGCAAAGGAACTGCTAGGCTTGTCTGGAAATTTGTGACGGTGATCTTGGTTCAGGCATGGAACATATCGTAAATTATATCCATACAATTTCCACATGTAAATCGTTTTTTATTTTTTACTAGCTGCATCTGTTTCTCACCATGTTTGCCCCATGGAGCATTGTACCTACAATATTTCAATTTCCAGCATAAATGTTTGCAACTTATTACATTTATATACCATTAAAACAGGCTGGTTGTCCAAAGCTGAAAATGAATATTGTCCGGAACATAACTTTTTTTTTTTATCACCACAGATTTCAGTTCGAGAAATGTAAAGCCATAATATTGGCAGTAAAGATGTCTCCTCCAAACTGACAGCTCCCAAACCTCAGTTCATAAACCTGTCTAGAGATTATGTGCATGGCTGAGACACACAGTCTAACTACTTGGCCAGCTCAGCAATGGAAACAGTTTCTGCATGACTATATTCTCACTGTTGACGGTGCATTTGAGAGAGCTAATGCACAAGTCTAGGTATGGTTTATACATTTCTATGAAGCAACAATCAGACACAGATAATTTAAATTCAGTTTTGTCTCGGAACATATTTGCTTTCCCATGAAATGCCCTGAGAATTTATTTAATATGCAAAGTAAATGCAATAATTATATTCAAAGCATAATAAACAGTTTGTGTTTGTACTCCCTTTAAACTTAAAACCCCAACTCTGCATCCAAGATTCCAAAAGGGCTGCGTCAGTGTAACCATAGTGCTGCAATTTGGATAAATGGTGAAGATGAAAGCCGAATTACGTTTTTACATGCCTTTGAGAATGCTTGCACATTTTTCTAAAGGCACCAATGTCTGGGTGTGTAATTACACACTAAATGCTATTTTTTTTGTGTTTTTTTTTTAGAGGAAGTATGTGTCGCTGAACAAACTTTAAACCCAAAGCGGCGCGCCTAAGAGTGCCTACTCAGACGCCACTGATGACAACATTACTATCAGTAATCCCTTGTCACCAATGTAATATGTCTATGAGTCGTGAGCAGTGATTTTCCTTTGTCTGATTTTTTATTAAAATCACTTTGAGAGGTTTATGGGGTACAATCAGTGATAGAAAGTAACTAAATACATTTATTAGGTACTTTAACTTTACTCAAGCATTTCCATACTATGCTGTTTATACTTTCGCTCTAACTTACAAAAGGGATTATATATTTTTCTCCATTACATTTACTTCACAATTACAGTTACTTTGTTTGATTATTAATCATTTTAGGAAATATTATACATTACTTAAAGATTAAACTATCCAACCGTATTTAAAGTATTCTAGTTAAAAGTAGCTCCTTGACCAACTACAACATTAAAATGCTGCTTACACATGAATGTATTTATAATAGTAATCCAATAACAAATTATAGTATAACACTCACTGGGGCCTTTTTCTGCATTAGGAGTATAAGATTTTGATGGGCGCCCCAGTACCTTACATGATAGAGTGCGCAGCGTGTAAGGCTGTGTATGACCACAGCGGCTGTTGTCTGATTCCAGCCCGGATCATGTCATCCCCTCTCTCTCTCCCCTGCCTTTCCTGTCTCTCTCTGTCACAATAAAGCAGAAATGTAAATAATAAAAAAAAGTCATTAAAAGTGTTTTGCTAATAATTCTTACATACATTTACTTAAGTGGCATTTGTAACGCAGAAGTAGTTTTATATTGCAGTATTTATTATTTTACTTTAAGGATCTGAATACTTGCTCCACTCCAATCATATAATATGTATTATAATGTAACACTGAAAGTGGCCATTCTGCATTGTGAGAACTTTTAATACTTTCACTGGAAAGATTTTGAATGCAGGACTTTTACTTGTAGCTGTGTATTTTTATACAGTGGTATTGCAACTTTTACTTTAATAAAGGATCTGAGTAATTATTCTACCTCTGAGTAAAACTATCACCATTCCACTAATGAACAGTGAAGTCAAAAAAAACAACAACACTATTTTGTGTGGAAGAAATTTGTTTTGGATTCTCTCCTTTCCCATTAATCTTGTATGACCCCTCAGATATATCTAGTGACCTATTTAGGGGATCCAGACCAACAGGATAGGAACATAGGCTGTGAGATGGTCCCTTTCGTAAGTGTGCAAACAGCAATTAAAGAAACTTACAGCATTCAATTTGTCGGGAAAAGAAAGAGAACATGACTTTTTTTAAGCATCATTATTTTACCAGTATTTGTCTATGATAAGAAGGAGTGTGAAGCCATTTGACCTCTGTGAGAGAATGCTGGGTGTCTCCACAGTTGGTTGGAGGGGGTTGAGCATCTCTCCAGTGTCAAGGAGACAGAGGAAAGACATGGGGTGTGATTTGTTAAATGCGGGACACCCCCTTGTATTGTTTCGACAACATGGGGGGACATCTGGCACTGGCAATACGGCCCAGTGTTGAGGTCTCCATCCTCTTTCTCGAGCACTGAGCTGTGCAGCATTGAAGCACTGCCCGCACATTCTCATGCTAATACCCTAAAGGCAGGAGCAGATGTGAAACATTTGGTTCTGTTCTTGTTCACTTGTAAAGAAATAATGTGCCCCGTTATCATTATTTTACTTTTTTGTTCTTCTGTGTGTGTCATAAAAAAAGAGTTCATGCTGGAGGCCATCTTCTTTGGTGGCCTGACTTCAGCTGCATGTGGCCGCTGTCACTAACAGAGAAATGGTCCCTCAAGTGTTTCGAAGATCTGAGGACTAATTTTGGCTATAGCTACAGTGGAAAATTTGGGGGGCGATGCACTAAGCAAACATGACAAGCTTCTGTCTGTTTGTTTGTACACAGAGATGTGTGTGTGTGTGTGTGTGTGTGTGTGTGTGTGTGTGTGTGTGCATGTGGGTGTGCTTGTTTTTTACATGTCTAGCATGTATGAGTTTTTAGCATTCCGTATATTTGTATGTTTTGTATTATGTGTTGCTGTGAATTTTAGTGTATTTATTTATGCTTATATGTTCATTCTTGTGCACAGGTCTGTAATGAAAAAGAGATGTTAATAACAATACTAATAATGAATTAAACAAATGTAGTGGCAATGTATATGTATCTGTTTGTGGCATGTCTCTTTGTACATTTTTGTGGTGTGTATTTTAGTTTGTCTATGCAGCTTTTTTCCAATTCACAATCCAATAAATTACAAATGTAATTTTGCACATAACAATTCCCTCTAATTTGGCTGAGATGTTTCAAGTGTCAGTGCCCCCTCCCACCTGGAACATCATTGGTTTCTGTCTGCTCCTCTCTTCATGTGATTGGCCAGGGAGGTGCCTGTCAAGCAACCTGACGTGCGAGACAAGTTTACAACTCTACACACGTGCGGCTGGTACATCGGGGCTCCTGGTGGCATCCTACACAGAGCAAGGAGGGAAGAGTGTTTTCTTACCTGAGTGCATAAGTCGGTGTACACTGCCTAGACGCACCTGTGGGCTGTTGTTTTGACTATTTTCGGTCAGTTTGGGCTTTCTCACCTGTGCGCAGCAGGCTTGGCACTTTTTGGAGGAGGCAGAGGTGTTGTCCACAGCAGACTGTGGATGAGGACTTACTCCTCGGTTTCTTCATGGCAAGAAGACTCAATGATGTGTGTCTAGCATGGCTGTGGCTCCTGTACCGACCACCCAGGGACCGGTATGGCTTTTAGCCGCATCAGTAAACTGGACCCCCCGTCCCGAGGCATCTTCAGGAAAGCGGCGGTCATGCTGTGCTCCCTCCTCACCTCTCTCTTCCTCCTGCACTGCCTCACTGACCGCTGCATCACCACCTTGCCCGCGCCGGTGAAAGCGTCCTCCAGGCGTGCTGCGGGGCTTTTCGAGGACTTGAGGTCGCGGAGGACTAAAAGACTGGTGTACGAATGGACCGCCGGGTCGGAGCTTACGGGTTACGGGGCCGCCAGGCGCTCCTCGCGGGTCCTCGCAGATGAGCGCGCAGGACAGGTTTTGGAGGTGACCGAGGAGTCTCTCATGTTGCCGCCTCCGGATTTAGTTGCTTCCAGGAAAGTGTCGCCGAGGTTTGCAGGTAAACTCAGTCCGCTCGGGGAGGGGAGCAAGAAGCTGCCCCAGGCTCTCATCATCGGGGTGAAGAAAGGAGGGACACGGGCTCTGCTGGAGTTTCTGAGGGTTCATCCCGACATCAGAGCCGTGGGAGCGGAGCCGCACTTCTTCGACCGCAACTATGAGAACGGACTGGAGTGGTACAGGTAAATATTTAATAAAATAATTATGTATTAAGGAAAAACCGAGAGAATCTCATAATTTAAACACTTTTTAGACCGACACAAATCTTTAGCATACATATTTACTTTACCTAGGAGATAGGATATTGGAAGACATTCATTAAAGCCTCTTAAAATCTAGGCTCATTTTCTGTATATTATTATTCATTCTATTTGCCACGGTGATAGATTGTGTTTATCTAACTTTTTATTTAGCCTACTACTACATCACTGACAAAGATTAGTCTACATCTCCCATAAATCTTTATTTAACATCTCAACTTTTACAGAAGTAGCCTAATTGCTGCTGGAGAAAGCACTGTGGACAGCCTGTTGATTTATTACGCTACATTAGGCCTGCTTTCATTAGATGTTATCAGGCTGCTCATTTTGTTGCACATTTTAGGGTTGAATGCCTTTAAGTTGCTTTGGTCAGGGCCATATTGGGATCGCGGTTTACAGCTTGATTAAGCTGGGAAACAAGACAAGGATACATCCTAACCAAGTTTTCCCCGTTGAAGAATGGATGCCGTTTAAAACACAGTCAAACTTAAAACATGTTGCTGTTGTGAGTTTTTTCTCCACATTTTTTAAATTTAACTTCATTTATTGCAAGTTTAGTACTTTGCTGAAGAACATTGCAATGTCTGTGATAAGTGTTCAAACATGTTTACTTTCTACATGTCATGTTTACACTTTAATCTAAATAGTAAAACTGAGCTTTCTTTTCTAAAAAGCCAAACTTGATGCTTAGATATGCCTACTATTAAGAAAGGGCACGACAATTAACAAAATAATAGTTCAAAATAAGAATATGTTACTGCAGATGAATTATATATAATTACACACACACACACACACACACACATACATCCATATAAGTTTTATTATATCAAGACAAAATTCTTCTGAAATCATAATTTAGCTCATCAAACTTTTTGTAGTGCTTCAAAAAGTGTGTTTTTATAACAAACTTTGAAGTTTGCAGTCTTTTCGGTCCTTTATTACAAAGAGGCCGGTTCAGTCTGAATTTGATTTTTCCGAATCAGTTTCGTCTTGCCTGACGAAAATGAAACTTTAGAGAAACTCTGATCCCACTTAAACACACATTCACTCTCCTTCAATATCTCCATCTTCTTATGCAGGAGTGTGCTGTGTTTTCCTCGCTCAAGTCGAATTTGTGATTGATTTCATCTGTCACTGCAAGTGTGTGTGAGTGAGTGCTGTGTTCACATTTCCACAAGCCTGTGGGGAACGATGGCTCTCCCTCCTTCAGTGGTTCTCTGTCTAATGGGGCATTGCCGACATTGCTGCTCTGTTATTAAGAAGGATTAGGGCTATAATGAAAGGTTACCTGAGTGTCTCAGGAGGTATAATTCACCTTTTGATTGAGTTAACACTACACACAGCACCCTCTAAAAGCCTGGAGACAAAACTTTTACTCTCCCTCACCGGCAATTCCCTCCAGAGCCTTCTCGCTCACCCCCTCTCCTCCCCCAAACACTTTGGCTCTCTCCCATCTCCCACTCACACACCTCCCTCTTTGTGCCTCTCTGAGAGTGAACATTCTCTTTTCGCCATCACTCTTTCACACCCTTCTGTTTACCTATTCATCCATTGTGGGGTTTTATATCCATGAGGGTCCCATCTATCCAGAGGAGTTGCCAAGATTCTCAGGAATTTGGACCGTGCCTCCAAGGACAGACCTTAGTGCCGGTTCCCCTTAATGCCGTCCATTTAAAACAGAAGGACCTTTGAATTGAAAAGAGGAATAAATAACTGTTACAACAACGTGGCCCACTCTGCAGGAGTTCATCTTGTCAGCTCTCCTCGACATCGTCTGAGAGTCTTCCCGTTGGTAGCTTTTGTGTTTTTGAGGAAGCTTTTGATTGAGTCGCATTCATTTGGCTTGAGGTCACATAGAAGTGTATATGTGCACATCAAAAGTGCTTGTCAAAACCAGGAAATCAATCTGATTGCATCGCTTTGCTTAACCGGCCCCTCGTCACAAATTGGCACAATCTCGCTGCCTCGGAGCCACAGATACTTTACTGATGGTTTTAAGATTTCAAGGCTGCAAGTGTGTTTAAAACTCCTCTGACACATGACACTTTGAAAGCTAACGTGTCATGGTTGAGAACAAACTCCTAAAATACTAAGAAGCAGCTCCACACTTAGTGTTTGATTCTCAGTAAACTGTTGTTTAAAATAAAAAAAAAACAATCTGATCTTGTGTTTGTACACAACAAGACCAGATTTTCTGTGAGTAATTACCGTGTCCAATTTGCTTGAATTATGTGATTCCTTTCATTAGCAACAGTGAACACTTAAAACGTAGCTGCATCCGTCTAAGGAGACTCTTTTTTTATTGTCAAGGCTGATATGTGTCCTCAGCATGAATCACTCGTCTCTGTCCCTCTGGGAATGTGTGGAACATACTTTAACACCTCAAAGCACTTGATGTGACATGGCAACATCTCCAGCCTCTTTTTCCAGCTCTCTCAGAATTATACTTGTCTGGCTTGTTATGGGAAATTCCATCAACTGCTCTAAAAAGTCAGTCGCACACCCAAAGCTATGATGCAAAAAATCTGTAATTTATTGAGAAGGATGAAAGTTGCCGTTTTGACATCACGGCTGTCACAGCATGAAACATTGGTAGCTTTAAACTTTTAACTTCACTTTAAACAGTCCAAAGGCTCCACACAGTTGGGTACAATTCTGTCTCACCATCTGCATTTATTCAAATCTTGGTACAGACTTATATATTTATTTTTTTACATTCCAGTGACTTTTCTTTGGCGGTGTTGTTGTACTTCCAACTAAAAACAATTTTAGATTTCTGAATAAAATGTCACTCTCGCTTTTTGTGCACTTTTTGTCCACAGACTTTCAGTAAATTCAGACCTTTTGTTAAACAGGAAACCAACACCTGGCCCAATCATCCAGTCAGTCAGTGTTACATTTCACTACACATATCTCAGCAGTGTTTCCGTATAATCACATACAAGGCTTTTGTTGTGGAAATGAACACTCAGAGTGAACAAGGAGGTCAAGCACAAAAACTGAACTAGAGCAGAGGCTCATGGAACAGAGTAGTCAGTATTATATTTTTGTCCTACTTGGGTTACTGAACACCCAGCTTTCACCTGTCTAGACCCGGTCGTAGTTGCTGTTTGATGTCGGATTAGCCTTCACCAGATTCTTTAATGGGTTAATTAGCCTTCATAAAAACATGTGTGACCCATTAAACACAAGGGCAATGATCCACCAACTCTGCCACATGCATATTTATCTAGCTACAAACAAACACAATAGTATCCAGTGCAGAATAGACTCTTGCATATACACACACACACACAAAAATTATTTCTGTGTGACTTTCAGTCCTGTCAGCTTAGAAAGACAGAAAGAGACAGGCATTTAAAAACAAATAAATATCCAGGAAATAAAAAGGTGTATAGCAGCTTTTGTATCACCAAATGTTTTGTGTAAAGTTGATCAGAGTTAGCGTATCCACATCAGCCTCTCCTTAAATATTTTCCTTCATGTATGCAATACACGAATGGGCAGTACCACGAGAAAGCAAATGAAAAGAGTATGCTCAGCTAGAAAATCACATTAAATTAGGGGTTTCCCTCATCATAAAACTGGCCTTATTTAAAAGGACGTTCTGTAATGGTAATAAAAGAAGGGTCTTAATCATAAAAGCAGTGACCCAGTGGGGATTTGTTTAAGAAAGCGGTGGTGTTGATGTGATCTGTATATGCTGATCTGAATTTCTGTGCCGTTGTGTGTCCTGCAGTGGTCTGTGAAGCAAGGCAGCTTCAGATGTGAACATACACAGAACAAGATTTTTTTTGTCTGTTATTGAAATATTGATCAAGATCCAGATGTAAATGTGTGGAATAATAAAATGTGCCCTGTCTGTGTTTAAATTCCACGAATGCTAGCTTTTTTCCCCTTCATTAGTGAATAGCATTTTTCCCTACATTAGGGTACACAGTTGGGTTTGTTGACACAACTCTATTAAGGAAAGACCACAAAAAAAACAACTTTAAAGAAAATAAAGTCACATTTGTCAAGTGTTGACAGTGAAAAGCTGTTGAATTCCCAGCATTTGAAATGAGGCCGACTTCCAAGTTTCTCATATGTTGGCTGTGTTTAGAGTGGGTGTCAGTTAATTGGGAGGCAGAGTTTAAACTCTGGCCTTGTTTGCTGCTGCCTGACATTACGCTTGTCATTCTGAGTGTGGAGAGGTTTGGAGAGCCAGTGGAAAGCATGACACAACTCTAAATGGGAGAGGCTAGATGTTGATAGTGAAGAAATTAATGAAGACCTCTTCAGTTGTGTGTCTAGGACAGTAAAGTTGTTGTAGCAGTCACTCTAAAGGAGCCAATCCTATATGCCTATAAACTCCATGTTCCTATCATTTAACTAAGACATAAACACATTGGAAATCGCTCAAAAACTGTACAACATACAACACAAGTTGTAACATGCATGTATATTTTTGAATAGATTTATGTTTGGCTGCACAAGCTTGTCATGACATAACCACACACCAGCTGGAACTAGAGGCCAGACTTAACAGACATCCTTGTGTGTATGTGTGTCCATATTTATGTGAGCATGTAAACTGTAACCACCTCCCGTGTACTTTTGGTGCTGCCTGCTGCCCTTGGATGTAACCCGGCCAGGAATACAAGAATGACACGAGTTTTGATGATTGAGTTGAAAATAGTTTACCACCCGCTCCCTTTGGACCACCCTGCATACCAACTTTAAATATAGTTATACTATATCTCACTTGTCTATCTGGATTTATATAACCATATCAGCCAGAAGTATGAGGAATATAATGTTTCTGCTGTTATGTGTCTGTGTGTGCAAAACCCTCAAAATGTATCTCCACGGCCTCTTAAGTGAGGAAAGGAGCCATTTGTTTTAGCATTTCTCCAAGGCACAGTCGAGATTTTTAAAAC